AATAATAATAATAATAATAATAATAATAATAATAATAATAATAATAATAATAATAATAATAATACAAATTACCAACTAAAAAAACAACACCTTGGTTTTTCTTCAAAAAGATCAACGAAGAATGAATCCTCTTCTTCATTTTTCTTTTCTTCTCTTTCTTTTTACCCTGTAGATATATAAGGTATATCTCAACCATAGAAACGGGAGAGCAAAGACTCCAGCGAGAGTGCCGTTTCCTGCTCCCTCGGCTGTGACAAGCCAATCACTTCGGTTGCAGTGACACCACGCAGCCACTTGTTGGTGGCTGTACAGAAATACTCATAACTACCTCCCACAAAGACACCATCAAAACAAACCCAGTTCGTTCCTGCTGCTTCTGCCAAACGTTGTGGCCAACTATAGGGAACAATATATCCCTCATTCAACATAGCGCTGCGTTCCTTAATAATACCATCTAACTTTAACTTTTCCTCAGGTGAAGATGGAATTGAACCGCTTTCAGCCTCAGTAAAGAGCACTTTACGCCGCTGCATTGGTACATCCCACCAAAGAGGTAATACCAACACATAATCTGCAATGAAATGTGACACCTTATTTTCAACTCTCTTCATATCATTGATAAGTTTTAAGAACAGTCGTTCACAGAGATCCTCATCGTATGGAACATCAAGAGTTAATAAAAATGGTTTCTTTTCTGGGTTTACTTCAGACGAATTGTACGCCTCTGCTACATCAAAGTTCATTGCACTTCCAAGACTACCAAAGTAACGATCAGTATCAAAGAAGGCGCTACAAAAATGGTTCGGTAGATTTTCATTTTCGAGGGAAGAATTATTTTCATGTTTCTCACTACTGTTATTCTTGTTTATACTCTTGTAGGAACCATCTTTTGGTGATCCCATATAAGCATTTATTGGAGAAGCACATAAATCCATCACATGATAACCAGCAAAATGTAAAAACTGTTTTAATTTTGTATCTGCACACAGTTGCAGTGATCCTGTTGCTAGACAACCCTCATATCGTAAAGCAAGTGTAGCCGCTCTTAAGGTGAAACGAGTTTCATAATTTAGTCTAGAGTAGCGTACACTCTCTGTCTTATCCGTAAAGTGACGGTAACACATATCAAGTTTTTTGTAAGCAGCAAGTGGAATAGATACAGATGGACATTTTCGGCGCATGCGATTTGCAATGTGGTTAGGCCACTTGACACCAATCACCGCAATAGATCCTTGTACACGGCGCTGCATGGCTGTACGACCCTTTTCATCTTCTGCGGATATAATAGAAAGTGATGGTGTACAATAAGATGATGGGTTCGTAGTTTCCAACTCCTTCTCTATTTCCACTGCCGCCTCTTCACAACGCTGTGATAGATTAAATCGTTTAAGCACTTCCTTGATGCTTGTAATCACATCTAAACTACTGGAATCCTCACACTTCAGTGAGATATCTCGAATGAGTTGTTCATCATATGTACCATTTGGCAACATGGCCCTTGTTGGAAAAAAGAAAATAGATGCATTTGCACTTGTGCCACTTTGTGTATCCCGCGCCACTTGTGAGAGCACCCACTTCCCGAGTGCCTCTTGACTGTGCCGCCACAACTTCTTTGGCTCCGCAAACCGAAGATGCGGGGCGGTCTGCAGAGCCTCGAGGAAGTCACTGCGGATGGCGGACCACTTTAAATTGATGAGCACCTCGCGGTAGAAACACACAGCGGGATGAGCCACATCCAGATCTCCGCCAGAAACCGTTCGCTTCATACTATTTCATATTTTAATAATAATAATAATAATAATAATAATAATAATTAATAATATCAATAATAATGTAATTGCGATCAAATAACCGTAATGTTTATTGATAACAATAATGACGATAAAGAAAGAAAAGCAAAAAAAAAAAAAAAAAAAAAAAAAAAAAAAAAAAATGGAAACAAAAGAAGAAGAAAAAAAGATATAGAGACCGATCTGTAAATACCAAAGTATATATTTTAAAAAAAAAAAAAGAGGAAACACACACACACATCAGGACAGAGAAAGAGAATACAAATAACACAACTGCAACAAATATATATATATATATATATATATATATATATCAGCATTTAACATTTCAAAATGTTCAACTTTCGGTTTAATGACGTGTCGCTTGAGTGGCAACATGAATGACATCCCAGAGATTAGTAAAAATAGACCCTACACTGTCAGCTATAACATTTTGAATATACTGCGCTGCTTGAGCATTTGAAAGGTCTAATCGCAGTTTTTCTTGTACTTTTAAGAGGTTAACACGAGGATCTAATTTTCCATCACCTGATATCTGCGGAATAGATGCATCTACCATAAGTACTAACATACTTAAGATAAGTTGTGCGTGTTTCCGAATGATATTATATGAACTACAACAGTATGATTTAAATTCCATGTAACCTGTACTTTGAGGTCCACCTAATGCTTCTACCATTTCTTTATTTATTTTCATAGGTGGTGGAAATGGTTTCGGGTCATTACCAAGAATATATCCAAAATCAATATGTAGTAATCGTCCATCTTGTGTGATAAGAATATTCTCCAAATGTCTATCGCCAATACCTAGAATAAATGTGAGTACACAATAACCAGCACAACTCTTTGTAAACCTAGACATGGCGGCATTAAATCCCTCTGTTGAAGGGTTATGTGTTCGAATGTATTTAATAATGTCACGTTGTACACTTTGAAATGTAACCACATCTGGTACAACTTCAACAAGACCTTCTGTTGTGCCTGTTGCCAACACACGATATGGAGTCAAACAAAGATCCAAACCATCTTCACGCAATAGTGAGTCAATTAGTTGTACAAGTTGTACTACTAGTTGATCTTGTCGAACATCATCACCCATTTTGAAGATAATGCTAACATCCAATGATGGAAGAGAGAGTGGAAGAAAACCTGGACCAGTTCTTACAATTTCTTCTGATGTGAGTCGGTAAATAGAATTGGTGAGAAGTTCATTACTGCTACTCATATTAGTGCTAGCACTCCTACTCATTGTATTTTTATGGTTATTGTTGTTGTTGTTGTTGTTGTTGTTGTTGTTCATACTGTCACTATTACGGACACTATTAATACCACTACTACAAATGTAGTCGGACTGTATTGTAAAAGGTATCTTAATAGGCATCTTGGCGCTCTTGAACATATAGATTCCATTAGATGAAATATTTTCTACCATTATACAAGGATGAGTGGGAAGTGTTACAGTATTGAAGCGTTCTACACCTTTTACTGTATGCTCAGAGACTGAAGGAAAAAGTTCCTGTATGCCACATTTTTTCATAGTAATAAGTGAAGTAGCAAACTCCATTCTCTTAATACGATCACGCGGATCCTTAAGAATTGTACGATAGAGAACACGCAAAACATGCATTAACTTCTGTTCTCGACGAATAAGTTGTAAAAAGTGTGGTCGAGACTCTTCCAATTTCGTCTCGAGATGTTGGAGAAAGGCGGCATATCCCTTTACTTGTGCCGTCGTACTCCGAGTCGTCTCTTCTTCAATGTCTGTTGGTTTCTCTAGTGAAGTCTCCACATAGACATACCAAAAGAGAGTAGAGCAGATCTCCCAACATCCAAGGGCACGATGTAAAAGAAATTGTTCCAACTCTCCCTTTACATCATATCGTACACCTTGAACTAATTGCAGTAGAAATCGAAGGATACGTTCATCCGATTGTCGTTTTAATAAGTTTATAGCATGATTTCGTACATAGGCTACTTCACGAAAGAAGAAAGAAAGACATAGTAAGGCCTGTGCAAAACTAATAGGTTTCCATTGTTGCATTACTTTAAGAGCTTCTTGTCGCTCTTTTTTATTGCTCCAATTTACACAACGCATAAAAGGAACAAAGTATGTAGGATCACGAGATAGAAAGAAACGAAAACGCCATAAAAGTAATTCATCATCTACTTTCATAGATTCCAAGTGAATTAGTGGTCTTCGTGCTATTTCCTGTAATTGTCGACGTTCCACCGGCCCAGGCTGTGCGTCAACATCTGAAAGAAGAAAAAGTGACTTGGATAGAGCAGACGCTTTAGTTTCACAGAGGTTTTCATCACCCATACAAATATCAATAAAAGGTTGTGTTGGTGTTGCCATATGGAAAGAGGACTGTAACCCAATAGGGAGTTCCTGTGGAATAGATAACATAAATACAGGATAACGATTACTTGCAAAGGGGAAATGTAACGATAGGGTTAATGGTGTTTCACCATTACAATCAGGTTGAACCCTTCGCATTTCTGCAAGACGTTGCTCTAGCAGTTTATCCATCCATGGCACTGGCTGTAAGAGTCCATGGTGAAGATCACGTGCGAGCATCTCCCACGATGGTGTTTCCGATGTACCTACAACTCCTCTTCCTTCTTCTTTTCCTCTTGCTGCTGATAGATTATCTGTTGTTGATAAGATAAAACGATGTGGACCTGCTTTGAGTTCTCCACGAGTAGTGAAGGGATGAATTGTTGTACGGCCAAGGAGTCCTTTGCGGGAGTAGACAGCACAGTGTAGAATAGCATCTAATGGCACATCACAGACGGCGATGGGAAAGATAATCCATTCATCCAAAATACAACGATCATCGCGAGTATGAGAAGAGTATAATAATGGGGTGATGGATTGGCCCAGGTGAAACATCTGTAAAGTGAGAAAAAGTGTTTCTATTCCGTCGTGGTCTCCCAACTTGTGCTTCTCAACATCCTCATATCCACTACTAGACATTCCTCCTGTACATTCCTTTTCTTCTCCATTCTCATTTATTCTATTGTTATCATCATCATCATTAACATCATTATCCCCATCGCACCTCCTGTGCCAACCCTCTATGGAATGGAGATACAACATGAAATAATCCGTGATATCGTTGGCGGCGATGAACTCACTGCTGGGCGAGACCCAGTGAAACACATCGTACGGCTTCCGCTCCCGTAGTGCAGAGACAACATTGGACTCATTAGTGGCCATCCAAACAGTATGCACTACTGTATTTTCACAAAATGAAATTACACATGGAAATGGATAAATAAAGAGCAAGAAATAAAAAAAAAATAATCAATTGGAGTTATGGATAGAAGAGGTACAAAATACAAACATAAAAAACAAAGAAAAAAGAATTATAATCGTCACCCTTCCAATACACATATAAAATAATAATAATAATAATAATAATAATAATAATAATAATAATAATAATAATAATAATAATAATAATAATAATAGCCACTTCTCCAGCAATATTCTCTCCCTTCCTTTCCTTGTTTCTTTCTTTTTTTTTTTGTTCCTTCCAGTTTCACAGCAGCTTCGGCTTAGAATAGTCCTTCTTCCTCCTCTTCTTCTTTCACTTCGTTTTTTTTTCTTTTCATGAAAAAGAATCAATGAGAATAGCCTTTTTTTTTTTTTTTTCAGTATCCTGCCTCCTGTACAAGATAGAGATAAGAACCCGCTACAATGCGGTTTGCTTTCTTTTTCTCTTCTACTGTATTATTCCCGATCTCTTTAGTGGGGCGGGTGATACCCAACATATCATACAACTCATCCCGTGCACTGCGGACCTTCACCGCCTCACTACCATCCCATTGAGTCACAGTGAGGTGATGCATGGCTCTCGCACATCTCTCAGCTGCGAGAGTCTCAGACTCCTCCGCCTCATCAGAAATAGAAGAAGTGAGAACTAAAAGAGAAGTGTACATATCAGTTGCCATCTTGGCACGCACCTTCGGGTAACGACTCGCAAGCATGACGAGACTAAGTCCCCATGCCGCTTCACGTGCTTCGCGAATACTACTTCGACAAAGACCACCAAGTACACCGACAAGAGGTAGTAAAACGAGAATATTCGTAGAAAAGTGCTTCAGCTCATTACGTAAAATTTCTACTACATCCATGTGTCGTGCTTCGTCAAATACACTGGCATTAATAAGAGTATCAATGGTACTACATAGTGGCACTATAACACGTTCATTATGGGTGTACTTGGCTGCAATTGCAATCAATACTTGTGAAAGACGCAGACGGTCTTCCTGTGAAGAGCGAAAAGCAGAGAGGAAAGCCTCTACGGCTGGACGCATAATATGTACAGAGAGTGTCCCAGCCGAGACGGCAAGTCCTTCAGCAACGCATGGCGCAAATAATTCTGTCTGTAAGAGGGGATAAGCGAGTTTTGTAAAAACGACCTGTGGTGAAGACCAATCTAGGGATGCCTCTTCAGAGAGAACACGCCGTAAAAGTTCAATATCAGATTCTCCTTTTTTCTTCCCTTCTTTTTCATCATCATCATCATCATCATCATCATTATTGTCACCCTTGTTATGACCATTACTATTTGTAGAATTATTTATATGTTTGTTATCATTTTCTGAATGATCAGCGTTATCCGGAAGGGCTTCGGGAATAGAAACAAGTTGCTGCAGAGCAACAACAGCACGTCCACGTAGTCTATCAAGTTTCTCCATTGACTGTTTAAGCAATGCACATGCTACACGCTGTCCCACCTGTGGACCTGCACATTTACACTCTAATCCATACTGCACAAGAGGTGTCAAACTGTTAATAGCTTCCAAACGCACAAAGGAGCCAACATCACCACGGCGATCTGCAGCATAGTCGCCAAGAGCATCAAGAATATGCTCAAGAACCTCTTCATAGAGTTCTTGTGTAAGATATGAGGTTCCTGCAGGAATGCGCAGTAAAAGTTTCCGCAGAGACCGCACGGCGTTGCGACGTGACTCCGCATCCTGCGCCTCCTTTCTCTTTTCGAGTACTGTAGCCTTCATTGTAGCTCGTAGTAGTAACATCATATATGCTGATTCTCCCTTTTCCTCCATTGGGGCAGCGGAGAGAATACACCATGGCAGTGCACCCATCGCGAGAATATTTCCGCGTCGCTCCATTGGATTTCGATCTTCACTACTTCCATCCAACATCTTCTCCAACACCTTATGATGAAAGGGTGCGGTGAACTCTGTGTAATATGTAGTGGCAAACACTTCATACGCCTCCACCGCATCAAACTGCAACCATTCGAGTATCTGTTTCCATGTGTCTTCAAAGAACTCCTGCAACTTCCCTAGTGTTCTAGCCCGCACCACTCCACCTGTTACTTTCGGTACTTCCACCATCTCTGGTAATTTCAGTCGTCGTCGCGCAACCGCCGCTAAAAGACGACAACACGCTTGTCGTACATATTCACCACCGCGTGAACGAAACAAACGGGCCGCATCCACCCGTGGTGTTAATGCGGCAATACTATCAATGAGTGCTGATGGCCATACAGAGGCATCTAGGGCATCCACAAGTTCTGCAATTGCAAGTATGGCACCATGACGAGTTGCAATGGAGTTGTCTGTTGCCCGCCGCAGGAGTTCCGGCATCACCTCACGCATAATTGTAGAGACTTCTTGTGTGGCGAGAAGTCCCAATGCCCGTGCGGCACAACAACGTACACGACGATCCCAGTGGAGTAATTTATTCACTACAAGTTCCTCCAACATTCGTTCTCTATATGCGGCATTTTCTGCCACCACTGGAGCAACCCGCAAGTAAGCATTTTGAAGTGAAGCCAATGAAAAGAAATCCATCGTCGTGACAAGACGAATACCATCTGGAAAGTTCCCAAGGCGTCCAACACATTCCTGAAATGCTGCAGCTGCTGCCCGACGAACATGAACTTCACGATCAAATAGTGAAGTAACAACAAGGCTGGTACTGAGTTTATGTACATGTTCTTCAATATCAGATGCATCATAGGCGCGGGCGATAGACCAACACGCGTAGCATGCAGCATCACGAACATGAGAACCAACACTGTACGTTCCCTTTATTAAATCAAAAACCAATCCTTTAGTAATAAAGGACATAATTATAGCTAAGTGTTGTGGATGTAAAATACTCCTTCTACACAACTCCGCTACAGTAAGTAAGCCACCGTGCCATCCACTGTCAGAGTTCTCATTGGAAAATACATCCAACACAGCATCTATCACCTCATTAGACATAGAGCGTGGAAGTCGATCACATATACGTCCTATACCTTTGGAAGCACTCCAGCGTACAACCGTATCTCTATGACTTATACCAACCAGTAGTAGTCCAATAGCATCTTCCAATCCCTCATCATTCTCAATCACATAATCATCATCATCATTATTATTATTTTCATTATCATTATTCTCGTTATCATTATTATTATCTTTTTGTTCATTCTCCTCTTCAGTCCTGCTAACAGAGGCATTATTCCCATCTGTTACAGTAGCAGCCAAATTTCTGTCAAGTGCAGCAACGTGACGGTGATATTTCCACGGAGCAGAGCAGCTCTTCAACATTGTAAGCGCCAGTCGTTGGACAACTTTCACAGCTGCTTTACACAAGAGTACATCATTGTTACGCGTCTCAAACACCCCAGCAACACTTGGAATGAGTTGGGCAGCGTAGGGTGCTAATTCACTACGTTGACCACACTTTAATGTTTTGGCAAGTGCAATAAGAACACCATGTAGTAGTAAACTACTACTATTATTATCTGCAATCGCTTTCTGTGCATAATCAAAAAAACGCACACGGTGTACTTCACCATCAGGCCGCGTGAGAAGTCGCGCCACCAGCAATGCGGCCCCTTCTCGACATTTCGATGTGTCACTTAGAAACACCATTGCCGTCTGCAGCACGGCGTCCGAGAGAGAGCCAGCACCATCCACAGAGTCAATAATACTTAATGAAAAAGGAACAAGCACAAGGTTTGAGAGCCAGAGAAGCAAACAGTAGCGGACTTCCCATTCACGACGACGGGACCCACACCCTTGCCACCAACGTAAAGCATAAAATACGTCTTCATACAATTTCACATCATTAGAAAAATAAGATGTACAACACTTTTCACCAGCTGTCTTAACAACTATATAAATAGCACGACTTATGTGGTGAATCGCCGTCTTGGCAGCGTCTGCATCGTATTCGTCATAATTCTTTCCTAATACATGACAAGACTCTTCATATGCGGCGTCACTATTGTCATTATTTTCATTACCAACATCTTTTTTACTCTTCTCCATACGCCAAACATCAGAAGCAGTGGGAAGTAACAATTGCATCATTGACACGAGAGGTCCTAGTAATATTTCAAGTGAACCATGAAGGAGATGTGGACTTTCCTGATAACGTGTTACGATACGCTCGAAACGCTCTAATGCAGCTGCTACTCCTTGTGGGTCCTCCGCAGCTGTGGGAAGCATTATATCATATCCCTCTTTCTCATCTTCATCACTTTCTTTTTCTTTTCCTTCTTCTTGATGCTTCTGGTTATCCAGTAAGGCTTTCCGCACACGTGAGAGAAGCTCCACACACTCTTCTTCTTCCTCAAAAAAAGCGGGGCCCCAGTCATCCTCGTTGTCTTCCTCAGCAGCCTCCATGTGTGGGTTGCTGTCAACGTCGTTTGCGTCACGTGACGCATCAGGATGATTTACTTCTACCAACTCATCTTGATCCATCATGACGATTCACCCTTTAAACAAAACAAACATAAACACACACACACACATATATACATATATATATATATATATATATATATATAGAGAGAGAGAGAGAGAGACAAGAAGCAAACAAACAAAGAGATATAATCATCACAGACAAGAGTACAATACCAGAATAATAGCCTGATTATCTTTCGTAGTGAATGAAAGAACCATTAACATGGTGCAGAGGTGCTGCAGCAAAGAGCAAAAACGTTACCCAGTGTAGATTACACGCTAGCTACAATACCCAAAGAACTTTTCTCACTTCACTTTTCTCCTTTTTCGCAAACTCCCCCATCAAAAAATAAAAAACAACAATAACAATAACAACAACTAAAAAAAAAAAAAAAATTGCGAAATATAATTTATCATCCTTCATTTGCCTCTGGAAATTCACTTCTTTTTTTTTTTTTTTCTTTTCCAACCTCTTACTTGGGTTGCATTCGAAGCCCACCATCAAGTCTAATACACTCTCCATTAATATAACGGTTTACCATGATGTGGTGCACCAGCGCCGCAAACTCTGACGGGTCTCCCAAACGACGTGGATATGGAACTGTCATTTCCAGCGACTCCCGCACTGCTGACGACATTTTCTCCAGCACCATCGGTGTTGCCATAACACCAGGACAAATAGTATTAACGCGAATTCGATGGGATGCCAAGTCACGGGCGAGTGGTAGTGTCATGCTTACAATTCCACCTTTACTAGCGGCATAGGCTACTTGCCCAATTTGTCCATCATATGCTGCGATGCTAGCGGTATTTACAATAACCCCACGGTCTTCTGTTTCCGCCACATTATTTTTTATCATCTCCTCTGCGGCGAGACGACAAACGTTAAATGTTCCTATGAGATTTACTTTAATCACCCGCTCAAACTTCTCCAGTGGACATGCCCCGTTTTTGCCAACCACCCTTGCGGGGGGACTGATGCCAGCACAATTAACAACACCAAAGAGCGGCCCAAACGCGTCTGTTGCGGCGCGAATGGCAGCCACCACCTCCGTCTCTTGAGTGACATCCGCCCTCACACGCATCACAACTCCCTTCTCGCTCGTTTCTGCTGTTCCCCTCTTCTCATTCGCCGGCTCCTGTTGGGCATCAACAACCGTCACGCGGGCCCCGTGGGCCGCCAGTACCCGAGCCGTCGCTGCGCCAAGACCGGAGCCGCCTCCCGTCACGAGGACCGATCGCCCCAACAAGGATATCATCACCCCGTAGGTCCACTCGGGTGAAAAAGGAGGAGGAAAAGCTCAAAAAGAAAAAAAAAAAAAAAAGAAAATAAAAAATAAAAAGAAACAAATCTACCACCAAACAATCAAATAAACAGAATAAGAATAACAATAATACCAAGAAGAGCCAGTGGGGTGAAAGGGATCCCAAAGAAAGAAAGAGAGAGAGAGAGAGAGAGAGAGAGAGAGAGAGAATATAGTAGTAGTTAAACTATTCCACTTTGGTAGTAAGTGAAAAACCGTGGATCAAAGGGATCTCAACTTTCAACGCCTCATTTACCAATCTGTGCTGCTGCACCAGTGTTCGATCACGGAAGGCTGGTGACGTTACTGTGATATTGAAGAAACTACCACAACCCCCACTCACATCAACCACCTTAACGTCCTGTATTGGCTTAAGCAGGTTGCTGGATCTGATCTTCGCTTCAAGATCAGCAGCCGTGATGGCCATACTAAGCCGAGTGAATCGCAACATTATACTATCGGCCCTCTAAACCTTCTGTTAACACACACACACACAGACAGAAACGCACACTGTCAAACTGTGGCTCCGAGAATGAACAATATATATATATATATATATATATATATATATATATATATATATATAGGGTATGAAAAGAAAGAGAGAGAGAGAAGAGAAAAGAAAAAAAAAAACAATTATTTTTTACTTATCAGAATATTAGCAATACTTAAAGAGACGAACATTCCCATTCTCCCCTTTTGGGGGATGGGAAACAATAAAACGGAGGGACGATATAAAAAATATATATTATATATATGTAATATATATATATATATATATATATATATAAACAGTAAAGGAAAAAAAAAGTATGTGTCGTATCACTTCGATTTCTTTGCTTTCTAATCCATCTGCTGCATGGCCTTCTCGGCTGCGGTCACCTTACCCTTGCCCTTGTCGCTCTTTGTGCTGCGGTCCTTGCGCTCAAGGATGGCCTTGCGGTTGTGGTTCAGCTTCAGCTTTGTGATCTCCACGTTGGATGGGTGCACGCCAACAGGCACCGTTGTGCCGTTTGCCTTTTCGCGGTTCACCTTGTCGATGTGAATGGCCCACTTGAGGCGGTAGCACGCGGTGACCTTGCCCTCGCGGCCCTTGTACGCCCCGCGCTTCACACGGACTTCGTCGTCCTTGCGAACAGGCATCGCACGCACGTTGTACTTGGCGCGGAGTTCCTTGGAGAGTGGGGCGCTCATGAGAATGCGGCGCACGTGGCTTGGTGCCTGGAAGTGCGCGCGACGGGCCTTTCGGCGGCTTCCACACTTAATGCTGGCCATGTGGAAGTCTGTGACACTGTGCAGAGAAAAATTAAATAAAAATAATAAAATAAAGAGGGAAAAAAGAAATGAAAAATTCAAGTGAGAAAATAAGCAAAGAAAATAAATACAAAAAGAAATATATAGTGAAAAGAAAAGAAAACAACAACATGTAATAATAAACCACAAACATAAACGCTGGGAAATTGTATTTCGCTGAGTATTATATATATATATATATATATATATATATATATTTCTTGCTCATGTCGATGTATTCATTGCTATCACTTTCTACCCTTTTCTTTCATATCAATATCGACATCAAAGAAGGAGTTCAAAAAGACACATGTACATAAACAACGACATCCTGTCGAGAAATCCCCATCTCTATACCCCAGAACATACGGGGGGCAAAAACAACGAGAAAAAATTAAAATCAATGAATTTGTCTTTTCATATTTTTTTTTTTTCACACAAAGGGGGAAAAAAAAAAAATACAAATTCAAGAAAAAGAAACTTTCTTTTATCGTTTTTTTTTTCTTTGTACTATTCATTTTATAGTTATTTAACCTTTTGCTTTCTTATTTGATAACCTTCCTAGATTCATTTTCCAACCACAAAGTAACGGACCCACTCATATTTGTTCTTTTTTAAGTTTTTTTTTTTTTTTTGAGATGTCTTATTTTTTTTTTTTCTTTCTTTTTACTGATTTTCTTTTTATTTCGGTTTACTTATTTTTCATTTTGCCTTATCATTATTTCAGATACTCGTTCGCTTGGCAGGTGCAGTGCCGTTGGGATACTTTGCTGCCAGCTTGCGGCCCACCTCAACAGCGTGCTCAACCGTGATATTAAAGCGTTTATACAACTCACTTGCTGGAGCAGAGGCGCCAAAGCCAGTCATACCAATATGATGATGAGAGTATTTCTCCCATCCATAGCTGGCGTATGGTTCGATGGAGAGCACCGGAACACCGTCAGGGAAGACAGTCTTATGATAGTCCAGAGATTGCTCTTCAAAGAGCTCTTGACAAGGCATGGATACAACCATCACACGTAGTTCAGAACTGAGTTGCTTGGCGGCATCTACAGCCATAGACACTTCCGAACCACTTGAGACAATGACAAGTTGTGGTTTATCTGCAGGCAATATCACGTACGCGCCCTTTGCCACACCTTCCATGGATGAAGCAGACTGCGGAACAGTGTTCTGTCGGCTCAGGCAAAGAATGGATGGTCCCTTCTTATTTTCCATCGCCACCGCCCAGGAGGCACTTGTCTCAGTCTGATCAGATGGGCGGAAGACCAGCAGATTTGGTGTCGCACGCAATACTGTCAGAAGCTCCACAGGCTGATGTGTTGGGCCGTCCTCGCCAAGGCCAATGCTGTCATGGGTAGCCACATACACAACATGGTGATGACTGAGCGCTGAGAGACGTACAGCACCCAAAGCATAACCAAAGAAATTCAAGAATGTTCCACCGAATGGAATGAACCCACCGTGTGCGTGCATTCCATTCATAATAGCACACATAGCGTGCTCACGAACACCAAAACGTATATAGCGACCTTGTGGGGTATCTTTTTGGAAATCCACCAGTTTAGCTGAACCTGGACGAGTAAGATTGCTCGGTGTAAGATCTGCAGATCCACCAACAAGTGCAGGAATAAGAGGCAACAATGCTCCAAGAGCGTTTTCACTGGCCTTACGTGTGGCAATAGAGTTTTCATTGAGTGGCAGCTTTGATTTCCATCCAGCTGGAAGTTCACCCTTAAGTTGTTCCTGGAGTGCTGCAAACTCTTTAGGGAATTCTGTAGCGTATTTCTTCATTGCTGCATTCCACTCCTCCTGTTTTTTCTCGCATTCAACCACGTGTTGCTTAAAGACATCATATACTTCTTGTTCCACGTGAAATTTCTTCGCAGGATCAAAACCAAAGTGTTGCTTCATCTGCTGAATATCATCATCACCGAGAGGTGCTCCATGGACCTTTTCAGTACCTGCAGACCGAGAACCAAATCCGATGGTCGTGTTCAAAATAACAAGCTTAGGCTTTCCCTTTACTTGCTTACACTCCGCGAGGGATTTGCGAAGCGCGGCAAAGTCTGAATCACCATTTTGGACCGTAATGACATGGAAACCAAGAGCCTCATACTTTTCCTTTGATTTCTCCGTAAAAGCGAGGTCAGTGCTGCCGTCAATACTGATGTGATTAGAATCATACACAAGCACGAACTTTTCGAGAGCAAGGTGTCCCGCAACGGAGAGAGCCTCTTGACCGACACCCTCCATCAAGCAACCATCACCACAAAAGACGTATGTCCAGTGATCAAAAATGGTATGCCCTGGGCGATTGTATGTTGCGGCCATTTGCGCTTCCGCGATGGCAAGACCAACTCCCTGAGCGATTCCTTGTCCAAGTGGGCCAGTAGTTACTTCAATTCCAGGGGTAACACCTCTTTCCGGGTGTCCAGGAGTGCGTGAATCCATCTGGCGAAACTTTTTCAAGTCATCAATGCTGAGGTCATAGCCTGCCAAGTGTAGCATCACATACTGCAGAACACATGCATGCCCATTAGAGAGCACGAAGCGGTCACGGTCTACCCATGAGGGATCCTTGCTGTTGTACTTCATCACTTCAGACCACAAAAGGTAGGCCACAGGGGCCATACCCATTGGAGCACCAGGGTGACCACTTTTTGCCTGCTGCACAACATCTGCCGAGAGGCATCGAATGCTGTTAGCTACCAAATCGTCCTTGTTCTTTGCCATGATTGCTGTTAAGTCTCTTTATAAAATAATAACAGTAATACCAATAATAATAATAATAACAATAGTAATTGTAATTAACTAAAGATCTCTCAAAACAAACGAAAAGAAAAAAAATAAAAATAAAGGAGGAGAGAAGATGCAAAGTAAACACACACATAAACACGCAAAAACAGCGCACTGTCCAGTTGAACCATTAGTACAACTACACACTGAAAAGAGGGGTGAAACCCTTCACGAAGGAAGGAGAAGAGGACTATCAGACACAAAATAGAAAAACGAATATTTCCTTGTGCACAGATAGAAAAGAAAAATTCAAACGAAAAAAATGATTGCAATCACCATGGGAGATTTACCAAGACTCCTACCGCTTCTTCTTCTCAAGCTTCTTCAGGTAGAACTGCAGCTCCGCACCCTCGAGCAGGGCACCATCGGCGCGTGCGGTCTGGCCTGGGCGGCTTGTGAGGCGGGCAAGCAGACGACCCTCCTTAAGCTGATCAGCGACTGCCTTCTCGATCTTGTGGTGCTTGCGGCGGTATGCCCACTTGCGCTTCAGCACAGCAGAGGCCTTTGTGATATCGTACTTCTCAACAGCGGTGCTAGCACCCTTCTTGGACTTCTTCTTCTCCACAACCTTTTGTGGGCCCTTCTTGTTCTTTGCGGCGTCAATATCGATACCGTAGTGTTTGGCGTACCACGTCTTGAAGGGGGCTGCGTCCACAACGACGATGCAGTTCTTCACGAGCGTCTTTGTACGCACCAACTCGTTGGAGGTGGCGTTGTACACAACGTCGAGAATACGTGCGCGCTGGGCGATGGCCTCTGTGCTCCAGGCAAAGTTGCCGGTATCAAGACGGAGGCCACGGAGCTTAAAGTTGCCGCCGCGGGCGCGGACAGGGCTCACACGGCGCTGACCAAGCTTTGTGTTCGCGGGGAGGCGACCAAGCTCAGCCTTCATGCGCTTCCTGTGGATCTTTGTCTTTCCACCGGTGATCTTGCGCTTGTGCAGGCGGCTACGAACGATACCCATGGTTGCTTTTACATGTGACAATAAATAAAAATGTTGTGGGGTAATGGGTAAAATAATAATAATAAAACAAGAGAAGAGAAGAGAAGAGAAGAGAAAAGAAAATAAGATACCAGTGGGTGGATGGGCAAATGCAGAAAAACTCTTAATGAGGGCAAGAAATAAGCATCCCATTCACCTTTCACAGGTTCCTTGAGATGATAAAAAGAAAAGAATAATAAAAAATGAAACAAAGAAAATAATAAGTCAATGCAATCACCATGGGAGATTTACCAAGACTCCTACCGCTTCTTCTTCTCAAGCTTCTTCAGGTAGAACTGCAGCTCCGCACCCTCGAGCAGGGCACCATCGGCGCGTGCGGTCTGGCCTGGGCGGCTTGTGAGGCGGGCAAGCAGACGACCCTCCTTAAGCTGATCAGCGACTGCCTTCTCGATCTTGTGGTGCTTGCGGCGGTATGCCCACTTGCGCTTCAGCACAGCAGAGGCCTTTGTGATATCGTACTTCTCAACAGCGGTGCTAGCACCCTTCTTGGACTTCTTCTTCTCCACAACCTTTTGTGGGCCCTTCTTGTTCTTTGCGGCGTCAATATCGATACCGTAGTGTTTGGCGTACCACGTCTTGAAGGGGGCTGCGTCCACAACGACGATGCAGTTCTTCACGAGCGTCTTTGTACGCACCAACTCGTTGGAGGTGGCGTTGTACACAACGTCGAGAATACGTGCGCGCTGGGCGATGGCCTCTGTGCTCCAGGCAAAGTTGCCGGTATCAAGACGGAGGCCACGGAGCTTAAAGTTGCCGCCGCGGGCGCGGACAGGGCTCACACGGCGCTGACCAAGCTTTGTGTTCGCGGGGAGGCGACCAAGCTCAGCCTTCATGCGCTTCCGGTGGATCTTTGTCTTTCCACCGGTGATCTTGCGCTTGTGCAGGCGGCTGCGAACGATACCCATGGTTGCTTCTTTACCCAAGGATAAATATCGAAAAAGAGAAAGAAAGAGAAAAAAATGAGAAAGAGAGTGAACGAAAAGCAAATGAAGTGATGAAGGGTTCAATATTTCAAGGTAATACTCTACAGCTCTCACCACACACGTGCGTGTGTGTGTTTGTGTGTGTATGTGGAGGAGCGCCGAGAAAGACTGCATAAGACTACAAAGCCCATGATGGTTTGTCTCAGTCTGCAATAACGGTAGCAGAAGCAAGAAGGGAATGAGGGTCAGTATTGGTGAAAAGGGAGGGGAGAGAGAAATGCAGAAACGGGGGGAGGGAGGGAAAATGGTCTGATTCTTTTCACTGAATACTCACTTCTTTGTATTTCCGCAAAAAGCAAAAAAAAAAAAAAACCGATGATATTCTTCTTTTAAACTCTTCTTCTTATTGCTTTTCCTTCAGCTATACAGCCGAGAACAGGCACCCAGCTGGCTTTCACCATGTGTACGTAGATTCTGGTTTTTAGCCCTTGTGTGGCCCGCAGGAAGTAAAAAACGAATATCAAATACAAGTGCGTAATCAAAGAGAGCCACAAATAGGGAAAAGCAAAGAAACCAACTAAAAACCGAAAGAAAGGCCACACGCCCTTGCCTTCACCAGAGGATGAGAAAAGAAAAAAAAAAAACAAAGAAAAAAAAAAACACGAGGTCAAGAAAACAAGGGAAAAAAAGAAAAAAAGGTGAACGCGTGGTAAACATGCGGGTAAGGGATGACACGGAGATAATAAAATTAAAAAAAGGGTGAAGAAAAGGGAGTCAAAAGCACACAACTATAAAGTATACTGTGCTGTGGTAAGAAACGGTACTACTCCGCAGAATTACCCCGTATTGTTTTTTTTTTTTTTTTTAGACTTACTTATTAATACACATTCTTTTTTTTTTTTTCCTTTTTCCACCTGCAGCAAAAAAAAAGAAAAAAATCGTTATCATTAGGACCCCCGGGTTATTGCTATTTTGATTGCATGAGGATTTGGCTCTAGAACATAGTTGCTGCTTTCTCTCTTCTATTCATTGATTTCTTGGTATAAGCAGAACAATATATATTGCATATGAAAAATGCATGACATACGCGGATAATAAAACAAACCTGGAAAACAAGAAAACACTACCACAACCCAACCCTGTATAAGGGGGAAATAAAAGACGCCTATTAACATTGACAATGGTAATAACAATAACAGCAATAGTATTTGTACCAAAAGAAAGATAAAAAAAAGATAAAAGTGAAAAAAAAAGAAAAAAAAAACCATTTACTATCTTCTTATTGTTCCTCTCTGAGATCCTTATCCCTCTTCATTTTATATTGTTGCCCTTGTACCTTTTTTTTTTTCTTCTCCAATCTTTCTCCACTCCCCTCTTTTTTCCGCATTCGCCCATTGTTAACGTATTGCTAATAGCACGCATACATCAAGAAAAAACAACCACCCAGTATTCGACTAGATTGGGATAGAAATACAGCAAATATATTCGTGTAAGGGAGAGATAGAGATAGAGAAAAAAAAAAGGAAACGAGCGAAACAGAGAAACGAATAGAGAAAAATGCACAGCAATAACACATATAACCACACACACACACACACACACAAAGAAAAAAAAAAATTCCCCACCCCAATTGTTCTGCCCAGGTTTTGCATTCCTCCCCCCTACTCCTTGTTCTTTATCCTCTCCTCAATCAAGTCTTCCTCAGAGAATCAATACAACTATCACCCCTCTCTTATGCAGCAATACACTTTTTACAGGACGTACTTTCACTTCAAGAATAATAACAATAATAATAATAATAATAATAATAATAATAATAATAATAATAATAATAA